TGTACTAGTCAGGCATGCTGTTGTTTACCTGTGATAGCAGTATTGGGGAAGTAGAGAGATAAGGAACAGGTACTCAAGGTCATTCCTATTACACAGTGTGTTTAGGTCAATCTGGCCTGTGTGAAACTATTTTAAAAAATCAAGGGTGGTGGTGGTGGTGGTGCACACCTTTAATTTCAGCACTCAAGAGGCAGAGGCAGGCGGATCTCAGTGACTTTAAGGCCAGTCTAGTCTACAGAATTCCAGGTTAGCTAGGACAAAAAAAATTAAAAAGAGCTATTGGTAGTAGTATAGAAAAATGTATACAGGGTTGGGTAGGGGACTGAGTGGTTTAGTGCTTGCTTGGTATGTGTGAGGTCCTGCATTTAATCCTCAGCACCACAAAAATCAAGAAGTGTTAGGAGAAGAGAGAAGCTGTAATTAAGGGTTTGAGGAAAACTAAAGAGATGGATGGCTGTTGAACTACTATTTACAGGTAGAATAGAACCATAAGAAACAGATATGGAAGAGGAAGAGGCATTCACATTGGATGAAAGAGCAGAAATACAGCTTTTACGACTAGAAAAGGTTAGAAGACAGCTTAACAAGCCTATTGGCCTCTGGTTACTTAAATATGCAAGTTAAATGAAGACTAATTAGACTGTGCAAATATCTTTGCCTGTGTGAGCTCCCTATAACAGTTCATACACACTGCACCCTTTCCTGAGAAGGTAAGTCATTACCTTTGAGTCATCACTACAACATGGAAGATGACTCTTGGGAACCACCTCGATTGAAGCACTTATTCAGCAATTCAGCTATCTGCATTTTCCCAGGAAGTTCTTACAACCAAAGGAAACACTATCTTGTTTTTCCAAATTACCCACTTGGCCTTTGAAGTATTATTTCATAATTGTTTCTTAAGGAACTGACAATCACCATTTCTTTTTGGTCATTTATCATTTATTTATTGTTTCCTACGATACGGCCTCAATATGCAGTTCAAGTTGACTGAGAACTGAGCAGCCCAGAGAACTCTCAGCAGTCCTCCTCCCTTAACCTTCTAAGCAGTGGAATTAAAACTATGCACTGGAGAAATGGCTTGGGGGCTCTTCCATAAGACCCAACTTCTAGTTTTGAGCTCTTAGGTCAGGCAGCTCACAAATGCTTGGGACTCCAGCTCCAGGGGTCTCATTGTCCTCCAAAGGGACACATATACATGTGAAATACATACACACACACAAATAAATCTAAAACAAAACAAAATAAAAAACATAAGCTACCACATCTGACTTTGAATTAACTTTTAGATCTTTTTCCAAGCAGGGAGAAATCTTATGAACTTGACATTACTATTGTGCTCACGGAGCACCCAATAACTGCAAGCAAATAGTTTTGAGTGGCAGGTATCTACCAGGGGCCTTAAGTATTCTAGGTAGGTGCTCTACCAACAAGCAACAGTGCCAATTTTAAACATTTTGTTTGCTTGTTTTTATGTTTTTTTCCTGTAGACGTGTTTCTCTGTGTAGCCCTGGCTGTCCTGGAACTCACTCAGGCTGGCTTCCAACTCAAAGAGATCCTCCTTCCTCTGCCCCCCAAGTGCTGGGATTAAAGGTGCCTGGTAGGGTTTTTGTTGTTGTTATTGTCTTAGATAGGTTTCCTGTAAATCAGGCTGACCTAGTAGAAGGTGATTTGAATTTCTCATCCTTCTGCATCTACATACCAGATGTGTTGATTACAGGCCTATACCACCATGCTAAGCTTCTGAAACCTAACATTGTTCATGTTCCAAACTGACAAATGATTATAGCATTATGGGCTTGATAAATTCCTTCTCTATCAAAAAATGCCTTTAGGTAACAAAACATGAAGGACCAGAAATAACCTGTAGTGCATTAAAAAAGGCTGCTTAGACTACACAGGTAACAATATGAAGACCCCAAATGAAGGAAAGCTCAATCAGGCTGGCCCCCAAGATGGAAACCTCTAAAGTTATAAAATACTTACTTACATTCATATAGGGCAAAGGCTATACAAACTTGGAAACAATTATCATACTTGATTATCACATTATCATACCTTAAGTTAGTAGTTATTACCACTTAAGAACTGGAAAGATAAGAAAAAAAGGCAGGAATATTTCGCCAAAGATTTTTTTTTTTGGTTTTTCGAGACAGGGTTTCTCTGTATTGTTTTGGAGCCTATCTTGGAACTTGCTTGGTAGACCAGGTTGGCCTCCAACTCACAGAGATTCGCCTGCCTCTCCCTCCTGAGTGCTGGGATTAAAGGCATGCGCCACCAAAGCCAGGTCGTCAAAGATTCTAAAAACATCAGCTTTTGTCAAAATAAATGGAAGATCTGGCATCAGTGAGCTAGTATTCCTGGTTAGCAGATATAGCTGTCTCCTTGGCATGGCAAACTATTGCTGATGTGCTTGCTCCCCCCCCCCCCCCCCCCAATCTGCCTGGCATCTGCAGCCATTAGTGTGAGAAATCTTTTACAATTATTTTTGTTGTCCATTTATTTGTGTGCTGTGTGTGCATACCTCAGCACACACGTGGAGGGTAGAGGACAACTTTTGAGCATTGTTTCTCCTTCTACCACCAAGGCCCCAGGGATCAAGATCAGATCATTCAGATTGGCTGCAAGCCCCTTTATCCGCTGAGCCATCTCTCCAGCTGTCAGTACGGTCATTCTCAAATATGGCTTTAAAATGCAATTATTCCACCCACATGGCTGATTGTGGTGGCCTGTGCCCATAATCATAGTATTTATTATGAGCTGAGGCAGAATGACTGTAAGTTTCAGACCACCCTGTGCTACATAGTTAGTTCATGAATAGCCTGAGCTACAAGGCAAGATACCATCTCAAAACAATCAGTTCATGGAGACATGGCTTACTAGCCGCTCTCCCAAAGGCCCTTCCTCTGATTGCCATCACATGGTGGCTCACAACTGTCTCTAATTCAAGTTCCAGGAGATCTGACACCCTCTTCTGGCCTCCTTCGGCACTAGGTGCACACACGGCTCATAGACATACATGTGGACAGAATACATACACACATAAAAATGCATTAAAAAATCAACCTGAATATAAGACAAAATGAAATCTACCTTATGTGATCAAAAGATTAAAATGCAGATGTGAAACAGGGTTTGGGTAGCTCAAATCAGGGTTTAGTCACTAAGTAAGATTTAAATTGAAAGTGGACTGAGAGTTTCTCAATTTAGAAAACAGACTTCTCATGATCACCACACAATGCAGTTTTTAGCCAACTGTCAACTGAATAAAATACACATGCCATACACATATATATTACACACACATAACGTGTGTGAATATAAAACAGAATGAGCTGAGGATGAGGCTCAGTGGTAAAGTCCCTGACTGCCATGATACAGGCAAGGACATCAACCCCTACGGGCACAAAGTAAATAAATAATTGAGAAAATTATGTTTGATAAAGAACTAAGGAGGTAATAAATCACTAAATATTTACATCAACGTTTCAGGTTAGCCAAATGTCCACTGAAGCATGAGCTTTTCCCAACACTCTATTTACTTAAATTACTTTTAAATGATCTCACTCAACTGAGTGCTAGATCACCTCAAGAGCAAGTTGCCCAGCTGTGAGGGAGCATTGGCTCATGCCTGTAACTCCAGCACTAGCCAGGCTGAGGCAGGAGGATCCTGAGTTCCAGATTTTTCTGGGGTACATAAGCAGACCCCCATCTCGAAAAGAAAACAAAGAAAGAATGCTAGACTTCCTAACCGCAAAACTAATCAACAGAGCGATATTTAAACAGCGCCTCTTTATGGCAAAATTCTAGTCATGCATACTAAATGAACAGAATTACCCTGTCACATTAGACAGTCAAGCAGAGTGGACAATATTTGTTGATAATGGGCAAAGCATCAGAACTGAAAATTTAAGATCTAGAAATGAAAAAGGATTACAGCAAAATAACTGTGTCTGTTTCCTAATTTGTTCCGCCACCCCCTCAGTATTAGTCTATCCTCTGTGGCAGAGGATGACAATGCATCATCATGCTAATACTTTATTCGTTCTACTGCTCGAGAGGACGCTATGTTGGGTTACCACAGCCGTGACACAGCTTTCCCTCCATCCAAGGACGTCCTGCGCCTAGCAGGCCAAAAGCTCCTAGGGAAGACTGCTGCAGTGTTAGTGTGACCACCTGTCCCTTACTGCACCCCGGTTGCTCTGTGTGGATGCTCTAAGAGTACTCACTCTCTTTGGGGAAAGAATCTCCCCACTGGTATGGGACCTGGCTCCAACACCAAGCCTGAGGCACTTCAACTCTGCTGCAGGGGTCCTGGGAGGCCAAGATCCCCCCAGGCCAGGACTGGGCAATCTCATCTTGATAGGTCCCCTCTTGGCCTCCCTTCCTCACCCCAGCAGCCAAGGGCCCAGCAGTGAGAACGCAACACCCCGCTTTTCCTCCTCCAGCTAACGTCCAGGTTCAGAGGCTAAGGAGATGTCACCCCGGGCTCACCAAGAAACGTGTTGAGCTGGTACCCTGATCCACTGCTCCCACCAATGGCCCCAAAACTGCTTTCTTCGCGGCTGCCATGGAAATCGGTCAGCTTCAGGTCGGAGAGCTTAACACGGCCGGTCTCCGGGGTGACCGTGGAGGGCTGCGGAGGGCGGAGTAGGGAGAGCCGAGGGTGAAGCAGCGCGCTCCTGCTGAAGGCTCCTGCGGCTCCTAGGCAGCCCCTTTACCCGCGCCGGGCAGCGTCGCCCCGCCCCTTCGGCTCAGGCCCCGCCCCGGCCCGCATTCCCCGAGGCTTGGGGGGGGAGAGGGGCGCGGCAAAGGGGGCGCTGTCTTCCCGGTCGGCCAATGAGCGACCACAGAAAGAGGCCCCCGCGCCGGGCCAGCCTGAGCACAGAGAGACGTCAAAGGGGCGGGATCGGCTTCACGGCGGGGGCGGGGGTCCTCGCGGTGGGGTCACATGGTTGGGGGCGGGAGGAGCGGCGGCTCTTAGCCGGGCTAAGGCTGCGCGTAGGGCGGAGGCGGCGTTGCCTATTGGCGGGGAGCACCCCAGAGCACCCCCCGCAGACACGGGCCCTGAGGCGTGTGCAGGCAGAAGCCACCCTAAGTGCAGAACCTTCTCTTCCTTCTCTGGTAGGCTGCGCAAGAGTGCGACCCTTGTCGCCTGGTGGGCGACCCCGTCCTTTCTTTCCCGCGCTTCCCACGCCCCGCGCGCTCAGTCCCGGTTAAAAAAATACTGAACTCTTCTATCGGGATCGATCCAGGGTGCGACCAGCCTCAGGAGGCACGCCAATCCCTCACCTTTGTAGGCTAGGGACAAGGACCGCTGGAGTTATTTGGGTTTATTATTTCAGATCGTTGTCTCCAAGTATCTCAATTTGAACAACTACAAAAAAAAAAAAAAAAAAAAAAAAACACCCGGCGCCTCTTGGCCCTGAAGCGCCTTGCTTTTTTTTTCTTTGGCTTCACTGGAGTATGCCCTCCCCTACACGCCATTTCCGCTCTCTTTATTAACCTCTAAGGACTAGGTTGGAAGCGAAATGGGATTCTCATTTGACCTTGAATTTACCTTGCCTAGATCCTTTGGAGGTCTGTGTTCTAAAGGCATTTCAAACTTTGCTCTGAACCAACAGTGAGAAGTAGTTTTCAAAACAACCTGGAGCTGGTGTTTGTGCTGCTCATTGCACTTGCATTTTTTTATGTATACTATTATATGCTGTGTAGTCATGAAGATTTTTAAATACTTTCTAAAAGCACTTCTATGCTGTGCATTCTTTGTATTTCATACTATGCAATCCAATTTTTTAACATCCTGACTGAAAAAAAATCACTAAATTGAGGCAGGCAATTTAGTGTAACCCTTTAAAACCCACTTGGGAGGCCTAGGGAGGAGGATCAGAAAGGAGTTCAAGGCCATCCTTCCCACTAACCAAACAAAGGTCAGGATAGGTTACATGATACTTTACTAGAAGGGGGGGTGGAGGAACCACGGAAATTATTTTGTAATCCACCATGCTAGCTATCATTTTCTTCCTCCTCCTCTTCTTCTTAATTAATTTATTTTTTGAGATAGGGGTTTTCTTTGTTTTGTGTGTGTGTGTTTTTTTTATCCTTTGGTTTTTCGATACAGGGTTTCTCTGTGACTTTGGAGGCTGTCCTGAACTAGCTCTTGTAGACCAGGCTGGTCTCAAACTCACAGATATCCACCTGCCTCTGCCTCCCGAGTGCTGGGACTAGGGTTTCTCTGTGTAACAGCTCTGGCTGTTCTGGAACTAGCTCCGTAGACCAGGCTGGCCTTGAACTCATAGAGATCCTCCTGCCTCCGCCTCCCAAGTGCTTGGACTAAAGGCATATGCCACCACTACCCAGCTCATTTATATGCTTTTTATATATCTCTTTATATAGTTTTGCTATATTTACTAATAAAGTACAATTTCCTATTTATATGTCTGTTTATATAGTTTTACTATATTTACTAATAAAGCACATTTCCTATACTCTAACCAGACATCAGAGCCTGGTGTTCCAGAAGAGGACTGCTTATAGAGATGCTACATTTGCTGAGATAAGCTTGCAGATAAGTCAGTATTTTTTAATTTTCTAGAACAGAATGAGAGACAAACAAGCAGAATGGATAAATGTTAAGGAACTAGGCCAACCTCTGTCAAAACCATGATAGGCATTGATTGAATAAATTATATGGGTAAGGATTTTCTTAGTTCTAGAAGTCAGTAAAAACAAAGCCACTGACCTTAACATGTTGAACCATTAAAAAAAAATCCTGACCACGTCTGAACTTTAGCACAGTTGTGACTCAGATTCCAACAGGACAGCAAATTATTTGTTTAGCAGCACAGTAGGGATCAGAATTCAGTCATTTCAGACTAAATGAAACTAGAGGAACATGAAAGAGCCTTAAATTTATTTTACTGTGGTTCTTACAGCAGTATATATCTCACAACTTCATTGCTTTCACCAAAACAAAAGTAAAAAGTCAAAATATGATTTGTATTTTCAAAAATCACTCAGATATCAAATGTCCTCTAAGAGACCAGAAAAGGGTCCTCAATGGGAGAATCTAGCTCAGCCTATCTTAATTCCATGCCCTAAATATTTCCTTTAAACTTTCACAGATTTATTTTCTCCCTTTTATCTGGGCAGGCTGACGTGCCTGGAATCCCAGCACGTGGTAGGTAGAGGCAGGTGAGGAGGAATTCAGGGTCATCCCCATCTCCATAGGGAATTGACACCGGACTGGGCTATAGAAGGCCTTGTCTATAAAGGAAGGAAGGATTATTCTGTTTTCCTTCCCCTTTCTCTATCCCTTCAAGCCTTAGTTGCATTTCAAAGAAATCTGTACAACTATAAAACTGAGTAATGGGTACTGTGATTCTGTTTTTATGTTGTCAAATGAGAAGTAACACCAGGGCAGCTGAGTCCAAGAGGACAAATAATATGCATATGTGAGACTAGGCAGCCTCCAGTGGTACATCCGAGACTGTATTTCATTATCCTGACATCAAACCTTGTGTCCTTCACAACAGCCTGAATGAGTGGCAGCTGAAGAGAATTAGAAAGGAAAATGGATGGAAAAGATTGTATATGCTGGTTCTCCGAGATCATTCTCTCCATCACTACCACAGATCGAAGCTGTGGCTCTGTCTTCCAACATTTAATCTTCGTGACCTGCAGTCACTCATGGCTTCCTTTTGCTCCCTTGTAAAATAGGGAAAATGTCACTGATGGTGACGTGAATGAGTTCCTGAGACTTAACTGATGTAATAATGCCTCCAAAAGCACCGTCCAAGCAGTACAGCTAGGCAGGAAAGGCAAAACTCATGTTGTTTTATTGTCAAGTCTGCTTTTACCAAAGAAATCCAGATGTAAGGCTAAGGACTGAAGTTCTTCCTGCAAATAGTTTGAAGGAATCCGAGTATTCTAAAACTCACACTGGGATAATTTTCCTTTTCCTTTTCCTTTCCCTTTCCCTTCTCCCTTTCACCTTTCCCTTTTCTTTCACCAGCCCAGCCTCTACATTTGTGTATTGCTGAGAATGAGATAGATCCTTCTACCCCAGTTCACCAGCGTTGGGATTACAGGTGTATGCTACCACATCAGGCCCTTCCTGTCATGATTTCTGACTCGTGGAGCAGGAAACCAATTTTAACCCTGATGGACAATCTTCTGTTGTTTCACTTACCCCTTCTATAGTTTTTCCCGTTCTTTGTTACCTTATGCAGCTCTTGAATAGACAGGAAACCTATTTTTCCCTAGAGAATATTCTAGTAACACTCCTAGATCTTCTCATATTTGCCTGAGAGCTAGCACTTGTCAGTTAGATGTGCTGGCTTACGCCTTGATGGCCAGCTTTCAGGGGGCTGAGACAGGAAGATTTCTCAGAATTAGAAGCCAGCCTGGTTAAAGTGTGAAAACAAGACTTTTTAAAAAGCTGTACTTGATTTTCAACCTAATGTATTTGGAAAGCTAACAGTTTCTTAATCCTGCCTCTGTTTTAATGATGGATATGTATCGGTATGGATAATAAAAGCATAATATGGGAGACTTGTCTATTTCTTCTTCCCAGGGGGATCTATGTATGTCTCTCTTAGGGTCCTCCTTGTTTCCTAGCTTCTGTGTAGGTGTGGATTGGAGTCTCGTTATCCATTGCTTCATGTCTAATATCCACTTTTGAGTGAGGACATACTGTGTTTGTCTTTCTGGGTCTGTGTTACATCACTCAGGATGGTTTCCTCTAGTTCCATCCATATGTCTGAATTTCAAGATGGCATTCCTTTTTTGCTGAGTAATACTCCATTGTGTAAATGTACCACATTTTCTTTATCTATTCTTTGGTTGAGGGGCATCTAGGTTACTTCTAGGTTCTGGCTAATACAAATAAAGTCTCCTGAGTAAATTAGGAGCATGGGTGGTAGGGGAGTGGGGAGGAGAGAAAGGGAAGGGGAGGAGAACATAAGGGAATGGGAAGGTCCATTTGGGGGAAGAACAGAGAGGGGGAGTAAGGAAAGAGATACCTTGATAGAGGGAGCCGTTATGGGCTTAACAAGAAACCTAGCACTAGAAAAATTCCCAGGAATCCACAAGGATGATTCCAAGGAAGAATCTAAGCAACCGTGGAGAGTCTACCTTAACTGCCCTTCCCTATAATTGCCATCATAGAGCATTCATCCAGTAGCTGATGGAATCAGATACAGAGATCCACGGCTAAACACTGGGATGAACCCCTAGAGTCCAGTTGTAGAGAAGGAGGAGTGATAATATAAGCAAAGGAGTCAAAACCATGTTGGGGAAACCCATAGAAACAGCTGACCCCAGCAAGTGGGAGCTCACAGGCCCCAGACTGACAGCTGTGTTACCTCCATAAGATCAAACTGAGATCCCTGAATGTGGGTGACAGTTGAGGGGCCTTGGGCAGTTTATAGTGTTGCTGGCAGTGGAACCAGTATTTATCCCTAGTGCATGAACTAGCTTCTTTTGGAGCCCATTCCCTATGGAGGGATACTTTGCTAAGTCTAGATACAGGGGGGGGAGGGCCTTGGTCCTGCCCCAAATGATGTTACACACTTTGCTGATCCCCCATGACCTTCCCTGAGGAGTGGATGGGGAGGGTGGGATGGGGAGATGATGGGGGAAGTGGGAGGATGGGAGGGAGAGGGAACTGGGATTGGTATATAAAATAAGATTGTTTTAAAAAGAAAAAAAAGCATAACATAGAAAGTTAGCGTTAGAAATGTTTATAATGAAAAGCACAGGCATATCATTTTATGGAACTTGTGAAGTGTTTTTGTGAGGTGGCACCAGATGTAGAAACAGGTAAGGAATTTAGACACACTTGATTTTTAGCCTCTTCTTCTTGCAATTTAGACTCTATTCATATGCATGTTAGTAATCTAAAAGTGAGTTTGGCCATGTGGTAAAGGCCCACAGTGCCAGGTACATGGGAGGCTAAAGAAAGAACAACCATAAGCTTATTCACTGCTTAGGCTAACAAATGAGTTCAAGACCAACCCATTTCAAAATAAAAAAAGTAAAAAGAGTCACAGGAGCCGGGCATTGGTGGCGCATGCCTTTAATCCCAGCACTAGGAAGGCAGAGGGAGCGGATCTCTGTGAGTTGGAGGCCAGGCTGGTCTACAGAGTGAGTTCCAGGACAGCCTCCAAAACAATACAAGAGTGACAGGAATGTAGTTCAGTAGTAAAGCACGTCCCTATCATGGGGGTGGGGAGAGTTGGATTAATATCCAGTACAAAATAATCTGGCTATGAAAATTTGTATATCACTTTATAGTGTTGTAATAATAATAAGAGTAACAGTATCCTGGTTATGTTTTGTGAACTTGACAAAAATCTCAATCTGTCCACGAATAGGGAATTGTATTGGAGAAAATGTCTCCATAACATTGGCTTGTAGACATGTCTGAGGGCCCAGCCCCTTGTGGGTGGTACTATCCCTGGGCTGGTGGTCTTGGTTTCTATAAACAAGCAGACTAAGCAACCAGTGTGCCACACTCCTCCATGGTCTCTGTGTAAGCTCCTGCCTCCAGGTTCCTGCACTGACCGCCTTTAATGATGGACTGTGATATGGAAGTGTAATCCACATAAACCCTTTTCTCCCAAGTTGCTTTTGGTTCCTTGTATTTTATCACCACAGTAAAAAGCCTAACGTGTGATAAAGTTCCTAATTCCAGCACACTTAGAGATTAATAAAGGAAAATCTCTTTAATCCTAATATGTAACTGGTTCTGGATAATGCAGAAAAGGGAATCAGCCTCAAACAAAATTTTACCAGCTTAGATAGACCTTAGTCTTGTATATTCCACATATGCTATCATCCTAAAATCTTCAGGTTCCAGCCAATTCCATCAATCCACAACTCTTCAGTTTAGCTTTTGGTAAATTTTTAGGACAGGGGAAGAAAGCAGCCACATTCTTCGCAAACATTTGTCAAGAACAGTCCAATACCAGTGCCACTTGCTAACATTCTTCCCCTTTGAGACTTCCTGATCTTGGCCCCACAGTTCAAATCACCCTTAGCATCATCCTCCATTAAAGCATCCAAACACTTTTCTAGTCCAGAGTCCCGGAGTGTTCCATAGTCTACAAATAAGCAACCTGGTCAGGCCTGTCACAGCGAAGCCCCATTTCTAGTACCGATTTCTGTCTTAGTCACTGTTCCATTGCTGTGCACAGACACCATGACCAAGGCAACTCATATGAAGGAAAGCTTGACTTTGGGTGCCTGCTTACAGTTTCAGAGGTTTAGTCCCTTATCATCATGGTGGGGAGCATGGTGACAAGAAGGCATGTCCATGCTGGTAAAGTAATGGAATCACAGGCCAAAAGAGACAGCAAGAAACAGAGTGAGGCAGACAGAGAAAGAGGGCGGGGGGGGGATGACATTGTGACATATTTCCTCTAGCAAGACCACACCTACACCAAAAAAGCCACACCTCCTAGTCTTTTCAGGCAGTTCTACTCCCCGGTGACAAAGTATTCAAATCTATGAGCCTATGAAGGCCATTCTTTTTTAGGATCTTTCAAGACAGGGTTTCTCTGTGTAATAGTCCTGGCTGTCCTGGAACTCCCTGTCTAGAGCAGCCTGGCCTCTACCTCCCAAGTGCAGGGATTAAAGGTGTGCACCACCACCGCCCAGCACACCATTCTTATTCTAACCACCACACAAAGTATTTCCTGGAATGATGAAAACAGACTCCAGAAAAGAGGCTTTCGGGTCAAGTCTGTCTGGTATCATCTGAGTCCTATATCCTAAGTGTGTGGTGTCTTCAGCAACAGAGGCCCATCCTCAACTCCTGAGAAGCAACTAACTGCTATATCCTCTTTTACCCTACCCCCAAAATGTAGCCACTTAGTTTCCTTGTTGCCAGAGATTTTACCCTGGTCATCATTATATTTCTTGGGCCTGAGTTTGTATCAGTGATTAATGAATGAATGAATGTAGTTTTCTCTGTCTCCTGCACACATACATACACTCGAGCACGATAAGCTGCTAGATACGTGGCTCCTAATGACTCATGCTTTCTAACACTAATGTCCTTTTGTTGACCCCTCCCATGCTGACCTTGTGCTTGGACAAGTGATGGAATACTAGCATGACACACATTGAGATTTGAAAATCCCTTGTGTAGAAATCAGCCGTCCCCTAGGAACACATCTGTCAAGCTCTGAGAAAGATAATCTATACTGCCAGCAAATGAGAGGCCATGTAGAGACCCAAAGTACCCCAGGTTACCAGTGATAATGTTTAGAGATGTTAATAAAATAAACTTGGATATTATAGCCACTGCAAGTTCCTAGCTGTTGAAGCTACTGGATGAGTGATCTAGCTAAATGAATGTCCTTAGTTAAGTTCTGCATAGAACTTAAAATCCATTTAGCTGTGCCCAATTAGTCATAAAGATTGTGAGAAGTTGTTTTGAGCCACTTAGTATTTTTAAAGATTTACTTTATGCATGTGTGCATGCATCTGTGGGTGTACATGCACTAATATATGCAAGACGTGTTTATCTTTGTATGTGAAGGTCAAAGTAGGATGTTGGAGCCCTTGGGGCTGCAGTTGCAGAGATTTGTGAGACATCCAACTTCTCATGTTGGTACTGGAATCTGAAATCCAGTCCTCAGGATTGCACAGCAATTGATCTGAAATGCTGAACCATTTAAGCGGTGCACCCCCATGTAGTTTAGGACTCACTTTTATACTACAATAGATAAAACAGTCCATTTAGAATATTTCAGAGTCATCTCTATGCAATTTAATTATTTTGTAACTAAATCACAGAACATTTGAAAAGTACTAATATGAGCATGCAGAAATTTTCCCCTTTTCTAACCTGGCATGGCATCACACAACTTTAACCCTAGCACTGAAAAGGGAGAGGCAAATGGATCTCCATGGTTTCTAGACATTTCTAGCTAACTTAGTCTACATAGCGAGGCCTAGACCAGCCAATGCAATATAATAAGGTATTGTTTCAGAGAGAAGGGTGGGAGATTTTTCTCATCTTCCAAACATACTTGAAATATTAGGAACTGATACTTGTCGGGGCATTTAAAGTTTGGAAAGTTGTTTTCAGGGGAGGGATTCATGGGCCCAACTGCTCCCTGAAGATGTACATGTACATAAAGCTGAGGAGGGACAAAGAGACATTGTCCTTGATGCTTTGGCCACTAGTAAGTGAAAGAGGTAAACTAAACTCAAGGGCTTCACTTCTAATAATTTAGAAATAAAGGGACTAGACCCTCACTCAGTCCCCTGCTTTAGTAACCATGACAGGCTACAGAAGAGACACATAGGCCTCTGATACAAAGAAACTCCAGATCCTCTGGCCTCCCAGAGCCTAAGGCCAAAACTGAACACAAAGAAGCTCCAGACCCCCTGCCCCCCAACCTCCTAGATGCTTGGTTCCTGGGAACTGTTTGTCCACAAAAGAAACTCCAGGGAGGACCAAAACCTCCCCTGTAGTCTCCAGGATATAGTTCTGAAAGCTATTGGTATCTACGTGCAGCAGGCCACCTGCAAGTAACA